TATTCTACACAATGGGGAATTCGGCAGTGGACTGGGACACTGTCATTTGACATTTTAATGCCCTTGCAGTTGGCCGAACTGGGGATGCAGCTGGGAATACCTCGCTGTTGGGAGTCCCTGAAGAACTGTAAAAAGCTTCTTTTCTTCTGATTCAACCTGTCAGCATCCACTGTAATATCATGTCTAGATTAGGTAATAACCATTTTAGCACTGCTTGATGATATTCACAAACACAGAATATTTTTAAACTGTTTTTTTTTTTTAAATTAGACTTAACGTGCAATATTTAGTTTTAGAAATGTGCTCCAAATATTATTTCAGTTTATGATTCTGTAATCAAGCAGATCCTGTTAAATAAAACAATAAATGTTGAAGCTTAATTGATGATTGGATCAATTTCTACCTGTTTTCAACTATTGCATTGTTTTACTCAGAACATTGCAAAAACTATTTGTTCCCATTTGCCTAAATGAGTCTGTCAATATTGGCATGTAGCCAACATTTCCATTAGGTATTTCAGACAAAATTTGATTAACCAGGAGCAGAGAGTTCTTACAATTAAAGGAAGTGCAATAAAAATGAATGTGCCCATGTTGTGAAATAATCAACATAGGGTAGAGAGGATATGCTGTACATTTCACATCATCTAATAAAAGCTCATATTGGTCCACACTGCTCTAAAGGGAAAGAATAGTGGTCTTAATAGTGGTCAGGACTAAAGAATGCAATTACAATTGTTTATTGTTTTTTAGCCATTATGTTATATTGCCTATGCATAGTTTTTGTTACCATTTGACAGGTACAACTCCTACAGATCACAACTGCAGTGCAGTTTGCATTGATGTCATCACGTCAGCCTGAAAAGACCTAGGGATGGTACTACTATATATGACAATGGAACTTCCTGTCTATCTGTGCTCAGCGACCCCAACTCCATGTATTCTCTCTGTACCTGAGCTCCCAGTGATAGCAGCATGTGGCTGTGTTGGTGTTGGCAAAGAAAAATAAATCTTCCTTAATATGACCCAGAGGCAATACCTACCCACAAATGTAATGACCATCCCAAAGCTTGATATAATATGAAGTTCTATGTGTCACACAGGGAGACATGGAAAATGATGTATGGTGCCAAACTGTACCCTCCCATTTAACTTGTCCATAGCAGGAAATTAAAGCGCAATTGATGATGTCAAGTATTTTTACATTTGTATTTTTTTTTTTTTGGTATGAGTATAGGTAGCAAGAAGCGTGGGAGTTACAATACAGCCAAAACGTTTAATACATTTAGATAATGTTAAAGGGTTAGAGCCCATCTGTTTTTTATTGCTCTGTGTCTGCACTGGATACTCTCTATTTGCCCTATTGACCACTTTCCCCTAGACAAAAAGTGATAGGAAATCTAAAATATTACAGTTGTCAGATCAACAGGAGGTGAGGGGAAATCCTCCAATGTGGACACCAGTTCTAGTGATTTCCTTCACTTTAGAGAGATTCCTCTCAAATCCTGTTGCCTCTGCAGGCCAGGAAGTTAGGGGAAACCAAATATGTATAAAAAAGTACTCTTTGAGGAGAAACGTAATGCCCCTTTCTTTTTTAAATCCCCTCTTACCTTTTTTGCTCAGTTGTCCTCAACAAACATATTCACATGCCCAGCAAAACCGCTGTGATCCTCCTAATGTTGTTTTCTTTGCGTTTTTAGTAGTATTATATGGCTATTTTGCATTCAGCAAGCACAGCACCTGTCTGGTGAGCTTCTATCATAACGAAGAGCCAGATTTGGTTATCTATGATCAAAGCCTTCATACAATAAGTACTACACACACTCATGCAAAGTTGATCATATGACAAGATAGCCTCAAAATGTTTGTTGTTTTCGGGCATCTCTCCAGACGACCTTTGCGTTATATCTTTTCCTCAGACATCTTTGGTTTTCCTGGAAGAGTTTAACATGTTCTAAAACGAAGGAGATCCTGAAGCTGAAAACAAAGAAGATCTGAAGGTTTCAAACCGGTGTTAGATGAGGGGCTTCTAAGGGCTTCACAGGGATACTGGTTCATGTTTCTTTTTGATTCATGAACTGTGCTTTGGTAGTAAGTCCTTTTTATTTATAGCTTGCAGGAAAATGGAAAGGGAATAAGGCAGAAGAAGATTATGATTTAATGAAGTCAAACAATATACTGGAAGGAAGTATATTTCCTAGAAAGAGAAAGGTGGCCGTTAAAGGTCATGTACAGGAACTGTGATCTGAGACACAAGTTTACGTTGTAATGAAAGACTTGTAGATGACAAGGATAGATTTTCTGAGATAAAGTATTAAACAATTAGAGAAGCTTTCAATAAAAATAATGATGTCCCTCATTTAGGACAAGGTCAAACATTAATGTATACTGAGCCAATCTCATTCTTTTTTTAGCCAAGCAGAATGTTGCTCTTAAGTATGTAAAATCATACAAAGTAATTGTGTCTTTGTATACTGCGTCAGGGTATAGAGGTCAGTGTGGAGTCTTGTATCGGGGTATACAGGTTATATGGCATAGAGCAGGCCTAGACTGGGACAAAAAGTAGGCCTGGGCATTTTAGATTGAACGTGGTGGAGGGGGGGGAGCGTGGTTGTTCGCAGGCGAGGGGATATTCACGGAGTTGGTCCTCTGCACTGTAATGTAAAGGAGCACTGCACTGTAAAGGGCACTGTAATGATTACAGTGAAGTCCCCTTTATATCACAGTGCCCTTTTACATTTCAGTGCTCCTAGCAATCACAGCCCCCCCCTCCCCATCACAGTGCCCCTTGCAGTCATGCCCCCCCCCTTTTCTGTCTAATTACAGTGCCCTCGTTTACTTTATGCATCCCCTGCACAGTTTTACCTTCAGCAAAGCCAGGATTCAGCCTGTGTGTCCTCTCCAGGGTCTCCCGCCCCGCAGACACTGTCATCCTATAAGCCGGGCAGGGGGCAGGAGGAGCTGCAGATCTGGATCTGAAAAGAAAAATAAAACAAACAAAACAATACTGGCAGTCACAAGGATTTATAAAGTCAGGCAGCTTACAAGCACATGGCTGGGGCAACATACCTAGAAAACATCCATGCAGCAGCAGCATCACCATCAGCCATACTCTTACAGTGAGGAACAGAAGTATTTGAACACCCTGTGATTTTGCAAGTTCTCCCACTTAAAAATCATGGAGGGGTCTGAAAATCACATTGTAGGTGCATTCCCACTCTGAGCGACAGAATTTAAAAAAAAAATTCAGGAAATCACAGTGTATGATTTTTAAAGAATTTAGTTGTCTTGCACTGCTGAACATAAGTATTTGAACACCTAAGAAACAGCAAGAATTCTGGCTCTCAAAGACCTGTTACTGTGCCTTTAAAAAGTCCACCTCTACTCCACTCATTAATCTAACTTAGTAGCACCTGTCTGAGCTCTTTAAAGACACCTGTCCACCCCACAGTCAGTCAGACGCCAACTACTACCATGGGCAAGACCAAAGAGCTGTCAAAAGACACCAGAGACAAAATTGTGGACCTCCACAAGGCTGGAAAGGGCTACGGGGCAATTGCCAAGCAGCTTGGTAAAAATAGATCAACTGTTGGAGCAATTGTTAGAAAATGGAAGAGGCTAAAGACGACTGTCAGTCTCCCTCTCTCCATGCAAGATCTCACCTCGTGGGGTATCACTGATGATAAGAAAGGTGAGGAATCACCCAGAACTACAAGGGAGGAGCTGGTCAATGACATGAAGAGAGCTGGGACCACAGTTTCAAAAGTCACTGATGGTAGAACACTACGCCGTCATGGTTTCAAATCATACATTGCACGGAAAGTTCCCCTGCTCAAATCATCACATGTCCAGGCCTGTCTGAAGTTTGCCATTGACCATCTGGATGATCCAGAGTAGGCATGGGAGAAAGTCATGTGGTCAGATGAGACCAAAGTAGAACTTTTTGGTCTAAACTTCACTCGTCGTGTTTGGAGGAAAAAGAAGGACGAGTTGCATCCCAAGAACACTATCCCTACTGTGAAGCATGGGGGCGGTAACATCATGCTTTGGGGGTGCTTTTCTGTGAAGGGGACAGGACAACTGCACTGTATTAAGGAGAGGATGAATGGGTCCATTTATTGTGAAATTTTGAGCAACAACCTCCTTTCCTCAGTCAGAGCATTGAAGATGGGTTGTGGCTGGGTCTTCCAACATGACAACGACCCGAAGTACACAGCCAGGATAACCAAGGAGTGACTCCGTAAGAAGCATATTAAGGTTCTGGAGTAGCCTAGCCAGTCTCCAGACCTAAATCCAATAGAACATCTTTGGAGGGAGCTGAAACTCTATGTTGCTCAGCGACAGCCCCAAAACCTGACAGATCTAGAGGAGATCTGTGTGGAGTGGGCCAAAATCCCTGTTGCAGTGTGTGCAAACCTGGTCAAGAACTACAGGAAACATTTGACCTCTGTAATTGCAAACAAAGGCTTCTGTACCAAATATTAACACTGATTTTCTCAGGTGTTCAAATACTTATGTTCAGCAGTGCAAGACAAATAAATTCTTTAAAAATCATACAATGTGATTTCCTGAATTTTTTTTTTAATTCTGTCTCTCAGAGTGGGAATGCACCTACAATGTGAATTTCAGACCCCTCCATGATTTCTAAGTGGGAGAACTTGCAAAATCGCAGGCTGTTCAAATACTTCTGTTCCTCACTGTATAAGGTATAGGAAGCAAAGACTATCTTCTCAGCCCCCCACAATGGATTTGTAGGCAGTAAAAGGGTGTTATATTTAGTGAACAATTTTTGTATAGTATCTGGACACTTGAGATTTGCAAAAACATGAACATCACTGGAATGCAAATTCTTAAATAATAAAACCACTGTCATTTTTGAAATGCTCAAATTTCTGTGATTTTCCATTTCAATGATATATATTAATATGTTCATATAAGTGAATGTTATTGATTTGAACTGGCCTCTTATAACAACTAGTGATGTATTGGTTTCTTTCACAGGGCTTTCTACTTGGATAAGACAAACCTGCCTCCAAATACCACATCTAAAGCTGCTTTCATTGACAAGGTAAATGACCTATACTATGATAAAACCCTGCATAACTTAGTATAATCTATGAGCAGATCAATTTCATGTGCAGCCTTTGTTGCTAGTTGTGCAGACATACCACACACCAGGAGGGGTTTTTGGGAATTCCTAAAAAGAATGCAAGAGAACTCTGAGGCTTCATGCACACGGGGCATTTTAATAATGCTGGTAACGTTAGCTAAAGTCACATTTAAAACCTGAGTTTTTCAGCGTTTTTGTAGCGTTTAGCGTTTAGCCACGTTTTTTCGCGTTTGTGTTTTTCAAACTTTTTAAAGGTTTTTTTACCAAAAAAATAAACTTTATTTTGGTCAACAAAGGTCCGAAAACGCTGGTTTGCCACGATTTAGTCCTCATGCACATTGGATGTTTTGATAACGTTGGTAACGTTAGCTGTGTAAAGTCACATTAAAAATGTGAGTTTTTCAGCTTTTTTTTACAATTTTTGCATTAGCGTTTAGTGGCGTTTGCGTTTTTTAGCATTTCTTTTAACAAAAAATATTTTTTTAACAACAAATTTTTTTTTAGTCAAAAAAAGTCTAAAAATGCCAGTTTGCAGCGTTTTACTGCGTTTTGCCGCATTTTTCAACATTTTTCAGAGTTCGAGCGATTTTACAGCTAAAAAACTCCTCTACAAACCCACTAGTCCTGAGATTTTTTTTACAGTCAAACATCCCAGCCCAAAAACATTGATTACAGTCTATGTGTGCATGGACATCTAGGATAACCTAGCTGGGGGGTTTACTAGCTGTAGAAAAAACATCAAAAGCCAAAAACAGCAGCTGTAAAAACATCAAGTGGGTATGAGGACTTACCACGTTTTACTGCATTTTGCCACGTTTTTCAGCTTTAGAATGATTTTACAGCTAAAGTTTACAGCTAGTTCTGGGGTTTTTTTCCAGCCAAAAAAACACCCCTGCCAAAAAATGTTGATTACAGTCTGTGTGCAGGAACACATAGGATAACATGTTGGGGGGGTTTTACCGGCTGTAGAAAAAAAGGTCAAAAGCTAAAAACAGCAGCTGTAAAAATGTCCCGTGTGCATGAAGACTGAAACGTAGACTGCTAAAGTAGTATGCAAGCAGGTACATTAGGACTGGAAGAGGGACAGCTCAAGAAGTGATTTGGGCAAGGGTACTGTTGCTAATGGGATACTGTTGAGAACAAAAATTCAACCAAGGAGCTGTAAAAATTGAGTTAAGGAATCAGCAAGGATTCAAATGAGTCTTTAGCTACTTTAATTCACATTTAAGCTCTGGACCCTGTATTATCAACTGAATTAACCACTTCCAGTCCAGACACTTTTACCCCCTTCCTGTCCAGGCCAATTTTCAGCTTTCAGCGCTATCACACTTTGAATGACAATTGCGCGGTCATACAACACTGTACCCATATGAATTTTTTAGCATTTTTTGAGACAGATAATGCTTTATTTTGGTGGAATTTATTCACCACTGGGATTTTTATTTTTTTGCTATGTAAATGAAATGTCCAAACAATTTGAAAAAAAGTGTTTTTCTTATAAAATTTTGCAAATAAATAGTATTTCATCATAAATCTTGGCCTTAATTTATCCGTTATCTTTTTAGTAAAAAAAAAAAAATAACCCAAATTAGTTTATAACCAAAAATTATAGTTTTTAAACATTTTTTTTACATTTTTTTTATTTTTTTATATTATTATTATTTATGTTTTTGTTTTTTGTTTTTACATACTTGTCACCCTAGCAGTACAGCGTCACCATGGTGACACTGTACTACTTGTGGGGGATGATTTTTTTTACACTGATTGCTTTTACACCCATAAAATCAATCATTTCTCCTTCTCTCTAGCTGCATTCTTGCAGCCATTGAAAACTACTGAGTGATCTGTGATTGGTCACAGCTTGTCACATGGTACAAGGCTGTTGTGAATAGCCTTGTACCATGTGACCTCTGTGATCATTCACAGATTTCACACGTAGTAAGCAATGATGTCACAAGTGACATCTTGCTTACTACTCTGCATGTGATCACTGATTGGCCGATCAGTGATCACATGATCGGGACCTCGGACAGAGCTCCCATCCGATGACTGACGTTCCCCTGTGTCCAGAGGACACAGCGGGCACCAGATCGCGGTGCGAGCGCGCACAAGCAGGGTGCGGGGAGGCCGTTTATAAACGGCCACACGACCCTGCACTGCCACCGTCCGGCCGTTTATATACAACGGCTGGACGGGAGGTGGTTAAAGATACAGTATATAAAGATATAAAGAGTTTTTCAGACAAAAACTACAGACTAGTTTGTGTTTAGACTTTTAAAGTTTACCTTTTTTATGTATTTATCTATTTGGATGTGATCAGCTTATTGTCAATAATCGTATTAACATATTGTTTTAAAAAAATATTCTGTTCTTAGGTAGGCTTCACACTGCCCCACTGCTCTTTGGGAAAAGTACAGCTAACCCTCAGTTTTTGGGTGGGTTAGCTGCGCTTTCCCATAGACTTCTATTATGTCCCACAGTTTTGGTGCGCTTCACCAAAATAGTGGAACATAATTGAAGTCTATCGGAAAGCACCACTTAAGCCGCGTACACACGATGAGAATATCGGACGAATGATCATCCGTTCTTGGTTTTTTTGCATGCTAGTCTCATATCGATAATGAAAACGTTACTAAAGTTCTGAAAATTCTTATAGAGCAGAATAAAAATTCAGAAGTGATTTAAAGTATTGTATTTGTATTGTGTTTTTGAACAAAAGCTGCGCTGAATAAACAAAAATTGTACGATCTAGTATTGTATGAGAAGAATTTGTGTGCTTCTCTGTTCAAATAATTTTGGACGAAAGTTGTGTACTAACAATCAGATTATCGTACAATTGCTTTGAAAGTGGTATTTTATGATATTCTGATTGTGTATACTAGGCTTAACCCCATAATAATGGGTTAGCTGCGCTTTAGCCAAAGCACAGTGGGGCAGTGTAAAGCCACCCTTAGTATTTGCCCTTCTATATGTACATATTGGCAGACCTGTGTGGTCAGCACAGTGATTGTAATTGCAGACTATTCTCTAAATCAATGGCCATCATAAAACAATACATCTTCCAGGTTGCTTATCTTATACTTGAATTTCCCTCAGCTGTCATTCAGCAAGAATGCCTATTGCAGTGTCAGACTTACAGGTCAAAGACATCTGTATATGAAATTCACTCAAACAGTATGCACAACAGTCACAAGTATGTGAAAAATACATTTAGGTACCCTTCAAATAATCACTTGAAATAAATACTCATTAAAAAGACATGACAGATTTAAACAACATGTTGGTAGTTTCCAAAGCATACAAGAGTGGGCATGCAAGGGAAAAAAGTGCAAGTGTAAAGCATGAGATACGTATGAATTTTACGATGGTGTGTACATAAAGTAAAAGCTTGTGGTAGTGTTATGTTATATTTTTTATTATTTTCTAAAATTCCTTTCAATTACTTTCAATTTTCATTGTAGCTGATGAGGCCATTAAATGCTTTGGATGAACTATACCGGCTGGTAGATTCCTTTATTCACTCCAAACGTACAGCAGCCTGTGCCTACACAGCTTGTGGTGCCTCGGGTGTTGGACTGCTGTCTGTGTCTTCAGAACTTTGTAATCGGCTTGGAGCCTGCCACATAATATTGTGCAATAGCGGGGTGCACAGGTAAGTACGAGTTATTATTTCTTGCCAAACATGTATTTTTTAATGAGCTTGCCTGATTTTTTTTATTCTCTGCAAATATGAATAAAAGGTAATGAAGTTGCATACAATGCATCCTTTATATTAGGTAATTTATTCAATATATACAGTGACCATACAATAAAACTGCACTCAGGCAAGAAAAAAAAAAAATATAAATATGTTGTTTCAGAGATGGCAATAAAGAACCTTAAAGAGGCTCTAACCCCTATCCTGGCCTATCCAAAATGAAATAAAAAGTGTTTGCTAGAGTTAGGCTTTATCCTGAGTTTTATTTAATTCAGCGTGCTATGATTCTGTGCTTTGCAGCCTCACCCTCATGTTACAGTGTGTTTTATTAGCGGGTATCTATGTATGTTTCTTTTTTAATTCTACACATATTTGTGAATATCTTAATGTAGATAATCCTAAAAATGTGTGCTAGGCCAGGATTGCACTTGTGTGTTAACGCACATTCCTCTATGGAAGCCCATTTATTTTAAACAGGCTGCCAGCATACCCCAGTGTGGGCAAAACCACACCTGACACTTTTTTAGGAATGCAAAGTATTTACATTAGTGCATTATGGTGCCATTCAAAATGAATGGTAATGCAACAATAATTTGCAAAGTATCCACAGAAACAAGGATTGTAATAAATTAAGTTTGAGATACACTTATGTCTTGGGATATGAGTGCGGCTAGTGTGTTGCTTTGCCATTCAAATTATATAGCACCTCAACATACAGTACTAACTGAATATGTGTCAATGGAAAAGTCTCTCAATAGTGATTTCTTCAATTTAAATGGATTTCCAAACTTTATATCGTCGTGCAAATGTTATCCTCCACCAAAAACAGTCACCAGATGTTCCCTCACCTGGAGTTTTTGACCTCACATCATGTTTGGTCAAAAAACACATGTGTCCCAAGAACTTGACATTAACCAGAGGGAGGCTGAGAGTGAGAGCTGCTTTCAATATTTTTAGTTTATTGTCACACCATAATTTGCTCGTGAGATAACGGTTCATTGTATTTATACAGTACTAACTGCCTATCGCAACACAAAAGTTTGATCCTGGCTTTAATTTATCACAAACCTTTTTTCTATGTATAGCTTGCAGTCATGTGTGCTTATTGCTTATTATGTCAATGTTGTTTCCCCACTTAGGCAACATTTGTCTGACTCAAAACAACAGACCCTCCACAGTCTCTAATAATGTAAAACACCCACAATACCAATCGCTATATCTGTGCTCTGTGAGCTTTGTGCCAATGCAGTGCATCATATGAGAGCTCTCAGAAGCAGCATTGTTTCATAGCAACAATGTAAAAGTGATACTGTTAACTTCTAACAATAATGTACCCTCTAGATTCATGTGAAATCCTCCAACTACTCCTATTCCCTGTGTAGTCAATGAATAAGGTCATCTTCCTACAATTCTCTAGGAATTAGCAGCAAGTCCCTTGCTCTGTGCAACAGCAGAATTAGGAGCAAGACTCCTCTGTGCTTGTTCATATGCTTTACTAAAGTACAAATAGTCAAATTTAATGTTGCCCATAACACCCCGACATGTTTAGATGCTTGTATCAAGATGCCCTGTTCATTAGTTTTATGTGCATAAAACCTGGCAATGAACATTGGAATGCAAGATTTTTCATGCCCAGAGCAACATGAAAGAACAGAGGGAGGCTGAGAGTGGGGGAGAGACAATCAGGACAGGCGGGGACGGGCTGCAGGCACACTCAGAAGGAAAGACCGTTATATGCGCTGAGCGGGGATCGCCATTGGGCAGAGCGGAGCGCACGGTCCGGGGCAGAGCGGAGCGGTCCGGGACAGCGCTGTGATCCGGGGGGATCAGGTCCGGCCGTTTTTTGGAAATACTTCATATGAATAAATATAGGAGATTTTCGCAAAAGAAATGAATGGAGGGTAATTGGAAGTGAAGGAGAGACCATTAAGGGGCTGTGGAACCTGACTAACCTGGAGATTGTGTGCAGGATCCGTGGAGATCCGAAAAGCGCTTTGACCCTTGTGGGTCACAGCAGGAAGGTGAGCGGGCATGCCTGCTATTTAGGATTTACACTCACCGCTTGCACCAGCACTGGAGCACTCTTATGAAGAAAAGTCATTGCTATATACTTGTTACTAATAATGATGCTGGTTTATTATGGACATTGGCGATTGTACTTGCTTCAACAGTAAATGTGGGTTATTACACTGATCACTTGTTGGTTAGTTTTATATCCCTATACAGGGATCCACTTTGTATATCTCACTCTAATATTTTGGGTTGGTCCTTTTGGGGGACAGGTATCCTCACTTATTAAGGTTCCAAAGTGGACCATAATATTGCACTATTTACCACCTATAAGTCACCCAATAGATCCTGTCAGATCTAACACAATAATAGGATTTAATCTGCTATTGTATATATTGCCATTTATATTTGTTTTACATATATTTCTATATATATTTTCAGGTGGTCACAACCCATTTTCCTTTGTAGATTTATGATATAGCGCTACACCATTTTGTTTATTACAGAGCAACATGTATGTTACTTTTTCCATCTATGACCCTCTCAGCTATCACCATAACACTTAACCTACCATAATTTTATCCCTTGACCTAATTCGTAAAATTCACTCCATGACAACTAACCTAACTCTGAAAACTAACACTTAACCAGATCCTAACACATAACCCTGTCTCCTTCAAGAATATGTAAACCCTCACCTTGTAAAACAATCCATTCAGTGTAAAATAGAAATGAAAGGCAAAACATGTATATGTATACATATACAAAAAACATTATAAATACCTCTTTGTAGAAGTGATCATATGCCCTCTGTTCTCAGCTACGTAAGGAGCTCAAGGAGGGGAAAAGCAGTACACTGATCTTCCCAGTGAATGGCTGTGCTGGGGGGAAGTGGCTTGTCAGCACAAGCCTGATTAGCTCCCAGCACAGCTGGAAAACTGACCATGCTGTGCTCTCATGCATAGTGTGGTCAGTTTTAACAGGAAAGCAGAGGAACTGGCAGGAACACCCAGGATTTCACACAAAGGAAGCAATACAAAGAAAACAGGATACTTTTTTATACAAGTACATGGTATGAAATGTTGGGTTTAGATATTCTTTAACCTTTCATCTGACCTTTTAAATGTAACACGCTAAGTGCTATCTCTGAGCCTAAATATCACTAAACTCCTAACCTGGTCAACCTTAAAAATGACCCACCAACGTTCCTCCTGTCCTGGGATGCCTAGTTATTTCCAGAGGGCTGAACAAGTGGTGCTGCAGAGGTAATAGCTTCAGTTTTCCTACTGCAATGCACTTCAGAAGCTCCCAACTACAGCCTGCCTCCTCCTCTACTCCAGAATCCATTGCCAAAATATGCATTCATTAATTTCAGCACTGAATTTAATGCAGCAGACTATCCCAGGAAAGGAAAAATGTTTACTTGCCTGGTCATTGGGACTGTGCCCGCACTGCACAGGTTACCTGCTTTATACTCTAGGGGAGAGAACAGCGGAGATATACCCACCTAACCCACCAATCCTCCCCACACAAGACTGGTCCCTGCAGCTCCTGCCGCCCCACTGCATTCTAAGAAAAAACATTTGACCACAGTTCTGCTTTAACACAATCTGTGAGAGGGGGAGAGGACTCTTACATTTGGGAACCATCATCCTACATGACAGTCCTAGTTAAAGATAAGTTATGTGACTGCAACAGTAGGAAAAAAAATAAACTTCAGCTTTAATATTTCAAAATTTCTATTTCAGTATTTTTATTAAGAAAATTTTTGTTTTAATAATACAACAAGCTCAAGATACGCCCATGCAGGAGCAGAGCAGAACAATAACATACATAAACAGATACATCCTGCTGACTTGTATTAGCCAAATAACGGAATGTCCAATGACATCAAGGAGGGACGGCAAAAAGCCGAACCAAATAGTAGCAGCAGCAATCCATCATACTACCGGGAGGAAAAAAAACTGTTAGAAAAAAGGAAAAAGAAATGATAAAAACATAGAAAAAAATAAGAAAAGAGAAAGATTCAGAGAGAAAACATGGAAGAAAAGAACACTAGAAGAGTCACGGATCCAGGGCTAGCACAGGCAACGACTAGAAGAGGCCATAACTAGTAATGTATCCAAGAACGCTAGACATCTGTTCAGACATCTGTTCATTGATCAGCATAGCATTCATCCGGGTCTTCACCCCCTGGAAGGCAACCAAAGGGGTTCTCCAAGCGTGAGCTATAGCATGTTTGACCAAAATAAATAGGTAGGATGACAATTTCTGCTGAGACCTAGACAGACCCAAAATTGGGCAATGCAAGAGGGCCACCCTTGCATCCCTATGGACCGTAATATGAAATAACGTTTGCAGCAATCCAAAAACCGTAGACCAGAAGCCTATTGATCGCGGGCACAACCACCAAATTTGAAAGACGTCCCCACATAGGCCACAGTTCCGGAAACACCTATCTCCGCCAGTCAGATTAAAGTGAGCAGTCCGAGCCGGGACCCAGTACCACCGCAGAAGAACTTTGTAGGCTGCCTGAAGAGTGATAGTATTGAAGGAACATTTCGCCACCATCCCCTAGGCCAGGGGTGGGCAAACTTTTTGACTTGAGGGCCGCAATGGGTTCATATATTGGACCCGGGGGCCGGACCAAGAGTAGATGAATGATGTGTATGTGTCATCCATAGTAAGTATAGTAATATTCCCCCATAGTAAGCATAGTAATTAATCCCCCATATAGTAATTCATCCCCCCATATAGTAATTCATCCCCCATAGTAATTCATCCCCATATAGTAATTCATCCCCCCTATAGTAATTCATCCCCCATATAGTAATTCATCCCCCATATAGTAATTCATCCCCCCTATAGTAATTCATCCCCCCTATAGTAATTCATCCCCCATATAGTAATTCACCCCCCCTATAGTAATTCATTCCCCATATTAATTCATCCCCCATATTAAGTCCCCAAGTCCCCCCTGTGTCAATTCACTTACCTTTGC